GAAGTGATACCTGATCAAAGATGTCCATCTCCTAGATTAGATTCTTCTAATGGACTACCCTGGACTTCAGGAGAGCAGACTTCAGCCTGTTCAGAGATCTGCTTGGTAGAGTACCATGGGATCAAGCTCTGGAGTGAAGAGGGCCCCAAGAAAGCTGGTTAATATTCAAGGATCACCTCCTCCAGGCTCAGGAGTGATGCATCCCAACAAAGAAGTCAAGCAAAAACACCAGGAGGCCTACATGGATGAACAAGGCGCTCCTGGACAAACTAAGACAGAAAAAGGAAGCCTACAGAGGGTGGAAACAAGGACAGGCAGCCTGGGAAAAATATAGAAAAATTGTCTGAGCAGCCAGAGATCAGGAAAGCTAAACTCTGATAGAATTCAATGTGGCCATCAACAAGAAAAACTTCTGTAAGTACATCAATGATAAAAGGAGGACTAAGGAAAATGTGGGCCCTCTCCGGAAGGAAACGGGAAACCTGTTTACCCAGGATATGGAGAAGGCTGAGGTACTCAATGACTTTTTTTGCTTCAGTCTTCACTGGCAAGTGCTCTAGCCATACCGCCTCAGTCACAGAAGGCAAAGGCAGGGACTGGGAGAATGAAGAACCGCCCACTGTAGGAGAAGATCAGGTCTGAGACTATTCAAGGAACCTGAAAGTGCGTAAGTCCATGGGACTTGATGAGATGCATCTACTGGTCCTGAGGGAACTGATGGATGAAGTTGCTAAACCATTATCCATCATATTTGAGAAGTTGTGGCAGTGCGGTGAAGATCCCACCAACTGGAAAAGGAGAAACATAGCCCCCATCTTTAAAAAGGGAAAAAAGGAAGACCCAGGGAACTACAGGCCAGTCAGTCTCAACTCTGTGTCTGGCAAGATCATGGAGCAGATCCTCCTGGTGACTATGCTAAGGCACATGGAATAAAAAGAGGTGATTGGTGACAGCCAACATGGCTTCACTAAGGGCAAATCCTGCCTGACAAATCTGGTGGCCTTCTATGATGAGGTTACAGCATTGGTGGATAAGGGAAGAGCAACTGACATCATCTACCTGGTCTTGTCCAAAGCATTTGACTCTGTCCCACGTGACATCCTTGTCTCTAAACTGGAGAGACACGGATTTGATGGATGGACCACTCGGTGGATAAGGAATTGGCTGGATTGTCACACTCAGAGTTGCGGTCAATGGTTCGATGTCCAAGAGTAGGCCAGTGACAAGTGGTGTTCCTCAGGGGTCAGTACTGGGGCCAGTGCTATGTAACATCTTTGTTGGTGACATGGACAGCGGGATGATGAGAAGCTCAACACAATCTGGCAATGTGCACTTGCAGTGCAGAAAGCCAACTGCATCCTGGGCTGCATCCAAAGAAGCATAGCCAGCAGGTCGAGGGAGGTGGTTCTGCCCCTCTACTCCGCTCTCATGAGACCCCACCTGGAATACTGCATTCAGCTCTGGAGTCCCCAACATAAGAAGGACATGGAGCTGCTGGAATGAGGCCAGAGGAGGGCCATGAAGATGATCCGAGGACTGGAGCACCTCTCCTATGAAGACAGGCTGTGAGAGTTGGGGCTGTTCAGCCTGGAGAAGAGAAGGCTCCGGGGTGATCTTATAGCAGCCTTCCAGTACTTAAAGGGGGCCTACAGGAAAGCTGAAGAGGGACTATTTACAAGGGTGTGTAGTGATAGGACAAGGGGCAATGGCTTTAAAATGAAAGAGGGCAGATTTCAATTGGATATAAGGAAGAAATCGTTTACATTGAGGGTGGTGAGGCACTGGAACAGGTTGTCCAGAGAAGTTGTGGCTTCCCCATCCCCGGAAGTGTTCAAGGCCAGGTTGCATGAGGCTTTGGGCAACCTTGTCTAGTGGAAAATGTCCCTACCTTTGGCAGGGGGTTTAAATTTTTAAGGTCCCTTCCAACTCAAACCATTCCTGACTAAAGTGCTTGTGTGACCATAGCAGCTAAATTAGGCACTTAAAATAGGGGCCTGGGGTGGATCCTCAGCATCTCTCCTACGGAGGGAACCAAGTCTGTCAGTCTCAGAGAATAGGTGAGTTGAATTTCTTTTCGAGTCACTGATTTCTGAGTCTACCTTTTTTTCCCTTATATAGAACCTAAATACAGCATAGATTCACTGGAAGACAACAGTTTGAGTTTTTTCTCCAGAGACGTCTAGAGTTGCCATAAGCTGAGCAGTGTGATGTGTACAACCGCAAGCTTTCTGGCAGCTTGAAGAATGCATTCCTCTGCCAATGTCATCCAAGGGATGGGTGGGAGGGAAGTGGAATAAGGTTTCATTAAACTGCTATGCAACAGAGGAGATTCTAGGAACTAATGGAAATCTTATGAGAAGAAGTGTGCACAGAGAGAAACACCTTTAATTTGATTACAATAAAAAATTTATTTTCATTCATATCATACTGAAAAATTAAATAAATAAAATGTTAAAGAATGATTGAGTGAGACTCCCCACCATCAGAGCAAAAAAAAAAAAAAAAAGTAACATAATTGATTGTGTATCCAAAGGAAAACAGGAAGAAAATCTGGTCATGGGAGAAAAAAGTGCTCAAGAGATTTGGCTTTGGTAAAAAAACATAACACACATTTAAGGAGGGCTTCAGAGACTTTACAGTGGTGGCAAAAAAATCCAAAAGTTTGAAGCCTTGATATGTTGCTAAATGTTTTCCTTTGTTGTTCTTTTAAACAAAATAAACCCAGAAAATTTCTAGCAGGAACACAGTCTTCAACATTGGCAGTGGAAATTAATTCTTCCGGCATCATCACCTGTTGATATCTCCTTATTCTGAAGGCATCCGAAAGAGCAGCAAAATTGTGGAGAAACTGAGATGAAGATCTAACACAACAGTCAGTCAGATGCCAGAAAAAGTTCCTCTGGAATAGAAATGCGATGGCACAAACTATCTCTCATCCTACAGCTAGAAAGGTCCACTCTCTGCTCTCCTCACACTCTGAAAAATGGACATCAGTGGTACACAGTTACTGCTTGCTGTCGGCAAGAAAATTAAATGGGAATTGCAGCTTGTTCCATGATGAAGACACTAAATCTATCCATGATAGTATGACCCATGATGTTTCATATGTGCTACCAGAGGCACAATATTCAGGGGAAAATTGGAAATTTAATTTGGACAGCAAAAGGAAACTTTGAGAACAACACAGACTGGAAGATAGCTGATTTTTTTTTACCACTTTCTTTGATCTCAGACTGCCATCTGTGTTAAAAAGAAACCAAACCACCATGAGTTTTCTTCCAAGTCCCTCTAAAAATGACTGAAACGGCGATGAAGTGTTTCTGAGTTACTGACATCTGTCCATGAGAGAAAAAAGTAAAAATATTCTAAGTTCATAATGAAAAAAGAGACTCCAAAATCCCGCCGCGGAGTAAAGATATCATTGGGGTCTTCCATGGGAGTCTTTTTCCTCTGAAAGTTGCTTTGCTTGTATTACTGTGACATCTCACCAGAAGCATGTTGTTTAACAACAATTTAAACAGCGGGAACACTTAAAACAAACAAACAGGGTTCATGTAGAAATGTTTCATACTTTTACAAAGCACATGGAGTAAGCCCATTGAATGTGCTGCACCTGTGACATGCAGGTGAGTTCTACTGGCCACCATGCTAGGAAAGGACTTCTTGACATAAGGATCACGAACAGGTCTCAGCATGAGGATTTGAAAATCCTGCCTTTTCCATATTGCTGAACTGAAGGGTCACATGTACAGCAAAGGGAGCTCAGTTCCCTGCACAGACTTGTGGCATCCTCATCTCTTTATACGCTGTGAGTCCAGTAATACTCATGAGGGTAAAGCAGTTCCTGTTGACGCGTGGTGCTGTGGCCCAAAATACATATATTCCAGCTGACTGTGCCACTGTGCTGTGAATTGCTGCCTTGGAGGTGAGATCACTGATAACAACTGGCACAGAAAGACAAGGGGATAAATCTTGGACTAAAGCACATCACTAGTCAAAGGGCTAGGCCTTCACCGAGCTCAAACACTCATCCGCTCGGACCCCAACCTTCGTAATCCATTAAAAATGAAATATGCCACTTTTTCTCAGCCTGACCAAAAGTCCCTTGAAGTCTGTGGCAAGAACTCCATTGGCTTCACCAGACCTGAAAACAGGTCAATAATCCGCGAATCTTATTTTCATGATATCAGGAAGAAAAAACCACTGTTCCCCACTCTTCACTAGGTGAACTTTGTTCTTGGATTCATACTTTATCTGTCCTTGAGGATTAAACGCATTGATTCCAGCAAAACTCTGTGGATATAGAATCTCCACGGTCACTCCTCTCCTCTCACTGCCTCAAGGTACTGACATTAATACACTTATTCCTCCAGAGATGCACATCATTTTGAAGTCTGGCTTACACCATAGGATCAACTTGAGTAGATTGTGTCCTTGTAGATGCTTCTACAGGGCAAAAGATTCCTCTTGTACTACTACCTGACATCCCAATCCACAATATTTCTTCCATTTCAAATAGAGACCTTGCAAAGAGATTTGTAAAAAAATAAGAGGAAAAGTTTTCTTGGAGCTTTTGAATATTTTCCCATAAAAAAAGGTAAAAGCTACCTTTAAAAATTAGCCTTGCTTCTCTTTGCTGAAATACAATATAGGAGCTGTTATTATTGTTTCTGACTACAAAAGTATACCACATGGAGGCTAGACTTTGGTTAATTTTTCCCCCTTTTATAAAAAAGTTTAATTTAGGGTTTGTCATCTTTCTTAAAAAAAAAAAATCACATCTGCACAATTATAAAAGGCACATATAAAAGACTGAAAGAAAAAAGTCCACTTTCCAACGTTAAACTGATTAAATAAAAATGAGCATTCCAGAGTATTTTCCACCAAAAAAATAAGGAAATAAAGATTATATATAACCAAAGAAGACAAACATACAAATGACTAAAAAGGCCTTTTTTTTTTTTTTTTGCTGGAGTTTTCAGTATTGTTTTCTCTCTCATTATGGCTGTATAGGAAGCAATATTAAATAATATATGATCAGAGATGATTCGATCCATATTTTCTAGATGCTATCAATGCAGAATGAGGCAATGGCTGAAAAATTTACTACTCCAGGCAACTTCATCATGTTTCTGCTTAATACAGCATGAAACCAGAAGTAACAAAGGAAACTGAAGAGACAGTTCAAAAGAAGATCAACAGCAGAAGTGAATTCATTTCTTTGAGGTAATCCTTACTATGATGTTCACAGCTGCCCTAGTGGGTCTCAAGTCCCAGAAGTAATTTTCAACTCTTCTTCAAGGATCTCCTGCCTTCCTCGAGGAAAGAATGGACACACAAACAGCAGTCCCTGTGCCCAGGTTTCCCCTAATTGCAACAGGCAGATCTTTCATCAGTAATTCAAGAATCAAGCTGTAGAGCCTAAGCAAAGATTCATTTATTCCCACAACTGATTGGTAGTTCCCAGCTATCTGTAGATAAGAAATCACGTGCAGCGTGGAAGCTGGTCCTTGGCCGAGCTCCCTGCGATGAGCATTGCAGCAGTGAGACACTCCGAATCCACCGCAGATTCGCGCATTCAAACCTGGCTGGCGCCCAGGCCGTCTTCACTGAGCTTTGTTCTGCTGCATGTTGGAAATCGCAGCCTCCAACTTCTCCCCGTGGCCAGGGTCATCTGCCCTTGAAAAAATTTATTTTTTCAATGGAGGCAAGAGTCAAAGTTACATTGAACTCAAAATCCCCATCGTGGACACCTGTCTTCCGGAAAGCCCCAGCTGAAGCGTTGTTTTCCCAGTAGTGGTGCCAGTGTCCTTTGCTGTCTGCTCCAAAACCGTACACGTTCACCTAGGAAGTAAGAGAGAACTAGTGTTATGGCCTGGGAAGCACTGAAATGTTGAAGAAACTCTGATTCTCAGCTTATCTATAGGCAGCAGCACCTGAGGACCTTAGTGGTGTGCCAAGCTATTCTACTGCATGAGATGATGCAATCACAGAAAAACAGCTCAAGGCCCGTTCAAGGGACATTACATCCTAAGCTATGCTGAGACTACCACCATACCTGAACCCAGACAGAAGGGAAATTTCTATCCATGAATTCTTGTTTAGTGATATGAAAAACACATTCCCGTCCCCTAAGCATGATGTTTGACCTCAGGAGATCAGTGGCTTGGGATGGGAATCTCCTCTTTAGCTGATAAAGGCCACAAGGACTGGAAAAATTTTGGTTTTCCTCCTGGTCTTCCACATACTGACCCCCACTTATATGCTTAATTATATGACATTTCCAGTCACTTTAGAGGCAATGGACATCACGTTCCTGGTGTGTGTATCCGCCTATGGCCTCTCCTCTCCCAACAGCTCATTCATTGATGGCTATACCTGTCTCCTGTGGTGATGAAAGTCTAAACAACACAGTTGAATTTTATTTAAACTGAGAACAGCTAAATGGCCGAGTTTGAATGGGTCATAGCCCATAAAACAAGTGCCCTAACCCACCCACAACTGGACCACCCAAATACAAGCTGATTTTAAGTTATTTTTGGTAATTTCAGAGCCTTGCTCATTGCCTGCTTACTAGAAAACAGGCTCCACCCAAGCCACCCATCCTATCTGTTTTGACTATGGTACAGTTTCTGTCAGCATCATGAGGAGCATTTCCATCACCTCTCCAAGAAACACAGGCCTAGGTGACAAAAGCTCTCTTTCATCAGCAGGTTTGTGTCCAGGTCAGGGATATTGCCAGCATAGTGATTTTTATCTCCCATGCTGACAAGCTCATGCTTGCAGGATTCTACAAGCTGACCTGGCCTTACACTAGCTAGTTAAGTCTCCAGTCACCTCGGAGTACCTCACATCACTCAAGCCAGGGAATTTCCTCAAGTAACTGCTGGAGCACAGGCATTTACCATAACCCACTGTGTAAACCCACAAGCTTGGGTTTGAAAATAGACCATCTGCATTCCCCATATCGGCTTATGTAAGAGCTGGTCATCGAAGATCTTCAGGTGGGATTATGTTTAAGATTTAGACATCCAAATGGAGGTGCCTGAGCATCCATCACAGTCAGTGATGATTCAGGCAGTACAGTCACTGGAAAACAGGGAGTGATCCTGCTCCCCTAATGTCTTACCAAGGAGTTGGTTTGCTGAATCAGCCTCTTGGCTCCACTGATTAGACAGATGAGACCTCAATGCAGTTGCCCAAACATAGGTGCCATTTGAGATGCCCTTGGGTACTAAATACATCTGCTTGAGGCAGGCAGATGTCACATAAGGCCAAGAGACTTGTAATTTTCTGGCCTGGCAGCTGGAGGCAGAAGGCATGCCCAAGGCAGCATGAATGGCTCTCCGTGTCTAAACAGCGAGACAAAATATGATTTGGGCTCCCACTAACAAAATGGGCACAGACACCATCCATATTTAGATGTCTTTTAATACCCAATGGAATCCCACTATTTATGTTTAATTATATTCCCCTGGAATGCATCTTAAATCCTACCACTTGCTGACATTAAAAAAATCAGTCACTGTCAGTTGAGCATATCTGTATGTTACTGAGGACTTTGCATCTGCTTGAAGAAGCAAATGGCACAGAAGATGGAGAGAGGGAAATAAAGGCTGAGTGAGTGGCCAGGGCATATTCCTAGCATTTCGGTGTGAAATGTCCTGATTTTTATCCATATATCCAAACATAGCCAGACCTCATCGCATACGTGGAGTGCAAATATCAAAGACAGAAGGCCTGTGGAGGGGTATCTCCCATGATGCTGGAGCCAGTTTTCATAGACGTATTTCATGAAATCAGGATTATAAACCAGGATCTAGGCAAAATTGGAAAGAAAGACTCATTAGTAAAATACCCTGGGAAAAAAAAAACAGTAGCACGTCATTCCTACAGGACACTGGGGTAGGGGAGTGGAGGAGAAAGGAATAATAGTTACTCCATGAGGGCAGGTGAAAGGGAAAAATAAAGTCCCACAGTTAAGTGCATTCAAGAATATTTCCCATGTGCAAATACACAGGAATATGCCTTTCTTGTTTTGATACCCCGCTTGCTTACAGTAATGTAAATCCTGGGTGATTCCTACTGAACCCAACGGGTACGAAGTGGCTCAAGTGAGAAGAAAATTAGGCATTTAACTCTCCCTGCAGTGTCCTGCTGTAACGCATGTGAACTGGGGAGTTGGAGTCCTGAGCAAGGCAAGGGTAAGATGCCATGCCAGATTTCATAGAATCGTAGAATTAATTAGGTTGGAAAAGACCCTTAAGATCATTCAATCATAATTTGGGTGGGAATGTAGGAGCAATTGCATCTTCTGCACAATATGCCAACCATGTCTTGGTATCTCTACAGGTACAGATCTAAGGAAACCAGGAGTCAGGTGTAAACTGTCATGAAGCCTATCAGGTTGTGTCAGCTGCATTTCTCCTATTTCCCAAACATGCTATTTTTGTACGCTTTTGTTGATTTTTGTTTTTGTTTTTGTTTTTTTTTTTAAAGACATAACTTGCACTTGGTTATCTCCTGGGACAATTATGAGGCCATCTAATGGAGACAGAGAACTTCAGATCAGACCTGAGTGGTGTACAGTAAATCCAAGGACTGGTGGAAGCCTTTGGTTTCAACCCCCTTCCCTGAATCAGGGAAAGTGAGGCTTTTCCCTCCATGCTGTGTCTGTAATTAGGATGACAGTGTTTCAGTGCTATCTGGTGAGCTGCAGGGCTTTTCCTTTTACAAAGTCAGAAGTTAATTGCTGATATTGTATCTGTGTGTAATCGCTTCTCACAGGGTGTTTTGCATTGCACGGTGTGGGAAGAAATACAAGGTTCTCATCTCCCTGCTCCTTGGGAAGCTGCTGCATATCGCCAGCTGTACCCTGGTGCTACTCAGCTGTGATATGAGTTTAACGACCTGCTGCAGTGCATCTCCCAAGGGTTTTGCAGAGGTTATTGTGTTCCTCACAACAGGTAGGGATGAGCTAAGTGATTATTTAATACCCTCAGAGGTCCACGGTTTGAAGCACAGGGATATAAACTCATTTTGGTTAAAAGTCTCATCTGAAGCCTTTGGCAAAACCTGGCCTCTTGAATGAAGGATATGTGTTTTAATCTGTAATTTTAGTGCTCTGGGGCTAACGTCATACTTTACCAGCCCTTGAGACATTAGGAGCCTGAGCTCCTCTGAAAATCAGCCTCTCTGCAGTCTGAGATATGAGACTTTCATTTTGCTGGAAGGTCTGTGGAAGAGGGAACATCTTTTACCTCTCCCTACATAGCCTGTCTTGGCTATTTCCTCAAACCATGCAGCTACAACAAACGTTTTTGCACGGTGGCTAAAGGTGCACCATGGGAATGACCATCTTGCCCCATGGGAAATTCTGTCTCCAGCAGCAGGAGATGTCTATTAAACCACAGCACACTTGGGCAATGAGTCAGTAGGGCATAGGATAGACTCTCTTCTGACTGCTGTAGAGTGGGCACCAAGTTCGTCTATCTTTCTTCAACCTTCTCAGAGAAGTGAGGTCCCCTGACTGATTGCCTTCTACACATCCATACTACGAAATAAAATGGATCAGAGGTATTTTGTTAGCCTTGAGGGAAGTGGCATGGCACAGATCACATCCACATTGCTCAATTCTGTCCCTGTGCAAAACAAGGAATGTTCCCTGGTCTGTGCTATCTTCCAAACCTTGCTTGAACGTTGCCTGGGAGAGTATTAATACACTTGGGACAAAAACAGCACAGACTTGGCCTGAGCCCAGTCTCATTTAACTGGGTACAGGCAGTTATTACAGCTGTGGGCTAAGAGCCTTCCCCAAGAGCCATTGATACCATCTTGAATTCTCCACTGACTTGAAAACACACAGCTTTATTTGTGAAGAGTTCACTGAGCTCTTTATTACAAGGAACTGACCCGGAAGCAAGAAACATCCTTGGCATTCAAATAGTCAAATTGTTTTCAAAAAACTCCAAAGGCTCTTCACAGCTCAAAGTGCCATTACAGCTAAATGACTGCAATGGGTGGGAACAGAGAAACTGCTGTGGAGGGTGAGCACCGTTGGCCAACAGTGCACCTTAAATCTCCCTGAGCAGGACCAGAGGAAGCAACGCAACCTTTGGAACTGCGGTAATGCAATGGCATAGTCACAACAGCAGTTTCTTTCCAACCTCAGTTATTTCGTGGTTGATCTATGGCCTGAATGGCACACAGGAGCTAAACCTTTAGTTTAGCTGAGCCTTGAAAGTTTGTATATTCTCGTTGCGGTTTTTAGGATTGTTAAGGGGCTCCTTGGGTTCTTGCACTCTCCCAAAGAGGCAAAAGACCTATGAGTAGATTAGCAGGACAAATTCACAAATCAACATTGCTCACCTTTTCTTTTTTGACTTTGATTTTCCGTGGAACTGGAACATATGTGCTGTTAGAAGGAAAAAAATAACACTAAGATTAGTAAAAGCTCAACATATTAATATTTTCCTGTATTTCCAAAGAAAGAAAGCATATTCTTCATGTACAGCAATAAATTGAAAATATTTGAAAGCACTAAATTCAAGAAATTTTTGGAAAATGAGTCTGCAACTAAGTAATACAGCATGAAAAGAACTGAGGTGTCACTGAAGCAAGTTTATAGGAAGCCATTACATTTTTAAATTTTCCAGTTAATCATTGACAGTAGGACACCAAGATTTAGTTGTCATATCGTGAAGTCAATATTATGTGGAGCCCACGACTTCTAATTCTTGGCTCATGACTGTCGCAGTCTTTGCACTCTGATGGTGGGAAGGGCTTTCCATTTAATTTCATGGCAGAAAAACCTCTTACCACCAGGGGGAGACTTTTCCCCTCCTAATACTTGTAGCTACTGTACGATTTTCAGAGAAGGTGGCAGTAGAGTTCATAATTTCTGTGGTTCTGTGCAACTCCGGCATTCTCAGTACAGTCCCTGACCAGCAAGCTATTCCTCTCCTCCCTAGGCGGATGCTGAAGGCTTCCTGCAGTTCCCAGCATAAAATTTCCAAGTTACACCTTATGACTGGGTTGAAATCATGAGTCACGTCTTGAAAACAACAAAAAAATCTTTTCTTCCCCATATCTCATGCACAGTGCCTGCACAGCTCATCATGGGTGCTGTAAAAAAAAAATCTCCCTGAGTTTGTTTCAAGTGAGAAAATTCTGAATTGGCTTTGTAACTGGAATATATCCCAAAATATACCCTACAGACTTTTTATATGGGTTGTGATGAATGACCGAAGCTTTCCATTAGTTCAATCTAAATGTTTTTGCTTCATTTCTGGTAAGAACAAGGTTCCTGTGATTAATGTTTTATTCTCTTTGAACCATGGATCATAAGCACTTTGAGACACTAGACTAAGTCTTCCCAAACCCGTGGTGACCTGGCAACATCCTCATCTCCTCAGACCCCCCTGACCTTAGATCCCTGTCCCAGGCTGGATGCAGTAGAAGATGTGACAGGTGGGTTCCAGCCCCCTAGGATGTGACACAAGATGCTAATGGGGAAAGGGACACCCATGCAGACTTCTTAATCTGCCCTCAGCAAATCCACCCTTTCATCTGCTTTCCACGCCTGACCTTGGTTAGCAAAGTCCTTAGAAGTAGACTTGGTGATCCCACGTCCTTTTTGTGATTATGAAGACATAAAGGGCTTCTTTGCTGGCAAAATCTCATCGTTATATAAACAAACAGCCAGCCTTTTCTGAAAAGGTGATAAGAAGGAAACAAGAGGACCGTATTTCATGGACATCTGCCCAGGTACAGTAGAAGATCAAAGTGAAAGGTATGCAATGTTCAAGACATTATTTGCAGATAGCTCTAATCCAATCAGGAGACTACTGTAGCTCGTCAGATGATATGTTAGTCATTTTAATCATGGGATATTTTGGTTTTTCAGAAGCAATACCCAAGTCTTGCTGTCACTTGGCCATGGAATTTCATACAACTGCACGGGAAGTACTGGCAGGCTGATTAAGATCAAATGGAGACCTATACCATTATGATCATGTGGAAACTAGGCTGCATAGCAGCCAGGGAGTTAGTGACTCAGTAAGTACCACACAGGAGTGGGACAAAGAGTGAAGCTTACGATCATAGAATCATAGAATCATGGAATGGTTAGGGCTGGAAGGGACCTTCAAAGGTCATCTAGTCCAACCCCCCTGCAAGGAACAGGGATATGATGAACGTGACTACAAGTGAAATTTATACAATCTGAAAAACATCTTCTATAAACCAGTCTGCAGGGCTCTAGTGATGTCTGCCAGCATCACTGGCCACCTCGCATAGGACATTTACTGTACCCTTGACCCAAGTGGAAGATGTGGAACATTTTAAGGAATACAAAAATTGCTCTTTGTCAAACCAAGTGGAGACACATGGAACTTTTTTCATTGTGGTGATTCCTAGAAGGCTTGCAGAAAGTCAATTAAAGCAACTAGGATAAATACATGATTGCTGAGGGCCTGAAGGTTTTCTGTCCCAGAAGGCTTTTCTTGGTCTTTCCTGGGATTGTGCTCAGTCTTAGAGAGCCACTTTGAAATGAGACATCCATCAGTAAATTGGACATGTCTGAGAGAATCATTCAGTTATCAATTCAATCTAATTAATATTAAGGCCACCTGCAGTTTGGCTTTTCTTTTGAATCATTAAAAAACCTTTTATAAATGTACATTCGACAATTTCCTTCTACACTGCATCTAATGATGTGTGCTTGCTAAAGGTTTATACATTATGCTAAATATATTGTTATTATTTGTATGCTTATGATGTTCTGGTTTTATTACTCCAACATGTGCCAGCTTATTAATTATGCAATTTCCCTGCTTTGAGTATCGCAAAAATCTTATAATACTGGTATTTCTTCCATGTGGTTAAATACTCACACACTAATTTATAACAGATGCTTACCAAGTCCATGTATACAATCTAAGTATAAATATATAATATATCCTGTCATTTATTAAGCAAAGATGTTTTTCCCTTCATGTGCTGTGACTGCCTTGTAGTCAACCAGTTATATCTTCCCGACAGGCTAAGGACTCCCTCAACTCTACAGCTGCAACCTGCTTGCTGCCACTTCTGAAGGTAAATGCTCCACAAAAAACAGTGAATGGCTTTGCAATCTGGGCACAGAGCAGTGACAGTGATGGAAACACGGGTGGGTGATGGTGGCAGCAACTGGCCCTCCGCGGACCCTCTTCCTAGCACAGGCATGGATTTGACAGAGATGCAGCCAGAGGTTTCATTCAAAGGCCGCTGAAGGCAGCTGGGAGCTTGCCATCCTTGTGATAGGATTTGGATCCAGGCTTAAGGGCAGAGGTTCTCAACCTTTTTTATCAATATAGCTTCCAAAAAAATCCACAAACCTAAGCCTTGCAAAAAAAGCTCACTGGTATTTTTTAGCCGATTCTCTAAGTGGGCTGATTTTTCTGAGTTACGAGTGTGTTCTGAAGATGGACTTTTCAAGACAACTTATCATTATATATACTAAGCTCTGGTGGGGAAAAAAGGTAAAAAGAGACTAAACCACATTTGTTGCAAGTTAAGAGAATCTTAATAAAAAGTGAAATGAACCTAAAACGCATTTGCAAAGAGATAAAAGAAAAAAAATAAAAAACAGAGAAAACTCCATTTATTGTCCCATGAAAAAGTTTTCCTTGAAAATGTGAAGCAGGTCTTATCCCAGTCAACAGGGACATACTTTTCCCAGTTTTTAATCTTCTGAGACTCTGAAATTGGGGAAAAAAAATGAAATGTCTTGAAATACTTCTCTCTGGAATAAAGTAATCTGATCTGCTCTTGCTGTCTATATGTAGCAGGGTAGCGCTGAGTAATCTCACCAGGCTGTGGCTTTACATCCAGCAGATAACCTCACATACAGAACAAATGTCACGTATTTCATTCCTCTGGATTAGGAAAAGCCAGCTTATAGGAAGGGAGAGAATCTGCTAGCAGGCGTCTGGAAGAAACCTGCATTTTGCTCACACGTCTAATTCTAGCGCTGCCATCAATGTATTAAGCAGGACAACATGTACTTCTGAAAGCACTCTTAAAGAAAAAATGGAGAATAAATACCAGCGTGGCAGATTATTGCCAGGTGGAACATGTCAATTTAAAGCTAAGGCACGCAGGCGACACATAAAACAATGGTGTCTCCTCTGCATGGCTCTCAATCACCTTCCACCAGGAAAGACGTCTGAGCTCCTGATTGACCTGTCCAGGGCAGGATGCTGTGGATGGAGAACTAGGCGCCCTGGTCTGCTTCTGCTCTCACTGCCTGTGTGAGCAACCTGCACATGCCTGTCTCCTTGTCCTCGTCTGAAAGTGTGATAATATATGTTGGAGGACCACTTGGTCACCTAAGTGTCACAGGTGGGGTAATGCAGGTGTCTAGGACCACCGCTGAATGAATAACTCACCAAATCCTTGATTCTGCAGATGGCTTTCTGATGGGTACGTCTGGGTACTGGCATGCTAGCTGCACTTGCTGTAAGCCCAAGGGACCGGAGAGGAGGAAGGATGAGCAGAAGCCCAAAATGAGAAACCGAATCTCAAAGCCCAAGAAGCATTTGCTCAAACTGTTCACCTCCAGCAGCAAAAAATGCCCCTTTCATTTCTCTGAGACCACTGTGTGGAGCTGTGAAGAGCTGAGGCTGGGTCTTTGCCTCAAAGACAACATCATAGCATTAAGCTTTTCCTAGAAAGCAGGTGTTCAGGACTGATCTCTGACCTGAGAGAGTCTGTAAAGCTCTCCCCATTAGAAGTGGGGATTTTCCCAGCATGGACTTTTCTGTCCTACAGCAACATGAAGTTTAGGTGCTCCCACCCCTTCAGCCTGCCCATGCAGAGCTGCCCGTACTCACAAGTTGATGGTGCCTGTGGTGAGAGCGGTGACAATCCAGCGCAGGTCCAGGGTTTTGAAGGGGATCAGGATCATGCTCACATTTTCTGCCAGCTCTTTGTAGCTCTCGGGGTAAACAAACTGGTGAGTGGTCTTGCTCCCAACATCTGATTCATAGCCAGCAGTGGGGGCACGGTTCATTCTGCAGCCCAAAAGTAAGAAGTGAGAGAGTAAGGAAGGAAGAGAGGAATTAGGTGGGTACAAATATGTGTGATTCTTCCCCAGATAATTTGCTTGAGGTGTCAGTAAAACCCTCCCACGGCTAAGGAGAGTGCTGTATGCAGGCTTTTCAGACAACCTTGACAGGGTGCAGGGGTCCTCAAGCAGGCTGAAATGACCATCACTTATGTGGCTAAATTAAAAATAAATGAAAGCTCAGCTTCAGTGTGTGATTCCTTGGACTAAATGGGAATGCCTACTAAGCAGGCATATCTCTGAGCACATCCCTGCATTTCCCTTACATTGAGCAGAGAGCTGGTCAAGAATGATGAGTCCATGAGGATAAATCTCCTTTCATTCTAAAGCTGCAGGCTCCAGTGGGTGAGAAAATCATTGCTTGAAGTCCATCAGCTTGACTTCTTGCAATTTCATTTCCCTCCATCTACACAGGTGTATTTGGATGTCTAGGGTCAAGGTAACAAACCGTGTTACGTGTGATGAGAAGCAGCAAATATTTCTTATGGTCCTCCCATGAAAAGGCACCAAATCCAGTGACAAATCCAGGACCCACTGCTGACACTTCATTTACTCAAACCTTACTTTGTAGTATGTCCCCCAACATTGATACATCTACTTGGGGTCACTCCACATACACATGGTGAGCTTTCAGCAAACCTGGGGTCATCGCGTGGAGATCTGCCCAGGGTCCACCAGGTCTCAGTCAAAACGTGTTGGTCAGACGGGGCTACCTTGTGTTGGATGTATCAGGGAACAGGGAACAGAGGGGGTTCTGGACTCAGGACTGCAGAAACACCTCTATGCATGTGTTCACTTCTGAAAGCAAATCTGGGGACCCGTCAGCAGTTCCCTGCTTGATGCATGAGCTCACTGCTGACAGAGACTTGCCTGTTTCTGTGGAGCAGTGTAGCGCACATCAGAGATCCCCAAAGTGGCCCTGGCTGACCTTACATGAATGCATGGTGCTGTGCAACACCGTGGAGGAACTTCCAAGCTGGCTCTGAGCAGAATGGGGTTTCTCTGCAGCCCAGTGGAGCCTTCTGAAGGGACATTAGCTCAGCTCCTGGCAGAAGTGCAGGGAGGACAGGAAGGATGTAGCTGATGAGGTGCATTGTACATTGCCAGACAACACACTGCCCTGGTCACTGATGGACCACTTGGTGGATAAGGAATTGGCTGGATGGTTGCTCTCAAAGAGTTGTGATCAACGGTTCAATGTCCACGTGGAGGCCAGTGACAAGTGGTGTTCCCCAGGGATCGGTACTGGGACCAGTGCTATTTAACATCTTTGTTGGAGACATGGACAGTGGGATTGAGTGCACCCTCAGCAAGTTTGCAGATGACACCAAGTTGTGTGGTGTTGTGGACACAATGGGGGGAAGGGATGCCATCCAGAGGGACCTTGACAGGCTGGAGAGGTGGGCCTGTGAGAACCTCATGAAGTTCAACAAGGCCAAGTGCAAGGTCCTGCACGTGGGTCGGGGCAATCCCATGCACAAGTACAGGCTGGGCGGAGAATGGATCGAGAGCAGCCCTGAGGAAAAGGACTTGGGAGTGCTGGTGGATGAGAAGCTCAACATGAGCCAGCAATGTGCGCTGGCAGCCCAGAAAGCCAACCGTGTCCTGGGCTGTATCAAAAGAGGTGTGGCCAGCAGGTCGAGGGAAGTGATTCTGCCCCTCTACTCAGCTCTCGTGAGACCCCACCTGGAATACTGTGTTCAGCTCTGGAGTCCCCAGCACAAGAAGGACATGGAACTACTAGAGCGAGTCCAGAGGAGGCCACGAAGATGATCAGAGGGCTGGAGCACCTCTGCTATCAAGATAGGCTGAGAGAGTTGGGGCTGTTCAGCCTGGAGAAGAGGAGGCTCCGGGGTGATCTTATAGCAGCTTTCCAGTACTTAAAGGGGGCCTACAGGAAAGATGGAGAGGGACTTTTTACAAGGGCGTGTAGTGATAGGACAAGGGGCAATGGATTTAAACTGAAAGAGGGGAGATTTAGGTTAGATATAAGGAAGAAATTTTTTACATTGAGGGTGGTGAGGCACTGGAACAGGTTGCCCAGAGAAGTTGTGGATGCCCCATCCCTGGAAGTGTTCAAGGTCAGGTTGGATGAGGCTTTGGGCAACCTGGTGTAGCGGAGGATTTCTCTGCCCATGGCAGGGGGGTTGGAACTAGATGATCTTTGAGGTCCCTTCCAACCCTAACCATTCTATGATTCTACGATTCTGCGATAACGGGGGAGGTAAAATCTGTTTATCAAGTCTATGCCAGGCTGTGTTATTGCAGTGCTCCCCGAGGTGAATTAGTTAAGTTTAACTCCCTCAAAGAGAGATATTAGCATAGGCAGACTGTCCTGCCACCCTGTGAGGACTTGTTATTGAGTTAGCCCCTTCCCTGCCCATGGCTCATATTGTGCTGTGTAGAAATACTCAGTAAAGCATGAGACTTACTATGTTTTATCTTTACATTAGTCAGTCTGAGGTATAAAATATGGGATTTTCTTCCCATCAGAACAAAGCCAAGGGGGCATTTTAGTTGTCTTACTCACACCCTGCCCTCGGATCTATGCACCTTCCCCACCATTCGTCTTAGGGCTGCCTGTGTGGCAGGGCAGAGGACAGCATTCACACTCAGTCTCAGGAAGAACCAAGCATGAAAGTAGATAGTTAAACAAATAAAAGTGGGCTGGAACATGGTGTTTGGAAGGAAAGGTGTCCCCTCAGACTTCCTGGCTCTTGGCTGTATTGACAGAGCATGTACAAGTGAACATCAAGTCACCAGAGATTTTTTTTGTTGGATTAGCGCACAGAGGGACCACCTTCTCTGCACAAATTTCCATAGTGAATCCTAAAACCTTGTTGCCATCCCTTCAGATCTGGCTTGAGATTGCTAAAGTATAAATCCGAGACTGGAAGGTTCAATCCCAAGTCACAGAGTGTGATGCCAGGGATGCACAGCTCAGGAAGAGCAAGGTCTCAGAGCAGAAATATGCATCTGAGTGCGTTACTTTTTAGTTACTACTCCATAAAATAGCTTTTTCTGCATGAATCTGTAAACATAGGCCATGTAAGATAAGAAAGTCCACACGGGAATGGGGATATCTCCATAGCAAGGGATACGGAGTTAAGCATAAATACACCTCAGCTGCGTCACGTTTGCATCCTGCAGGATGAATCTTGAGGGCTCTTCACTTCCCTTTGTGGATCTGAAGACCAGGTTGACTGCTGCTGGCTTTGGGGAGTTACTTTGGCAGAGGGCAAGGCATGCAACCAAAGCAAGCAACTCCTGAAATGATTTGTCGTAAATATTTAGATGTCATCTGAAGGCTCTACAGCATGCCCAAGCCACATCGGAAGCCAAGTGGCCTAAGGTGGATTAACAGTCCAAACAGTGTTGATGTTCTGCTGATTCACTCGCCTTCAGTGCACAGCTTCCTGCTAAACTTCATGTTATTTCTGAGAGTGTAATCCTGCTTATGGTATTTTCGATAGCAATCCCTCCTTTCCAGGCCCTCCGACCTGCCCTGCATTGCTCCCCAAATTGTGCGGTGCTGTGCTGTACTGGCAGCTGTGGTGTGAAAGCCGGACAATGCGCTGGAGATGAACTTAGTCAGCCCAGTGTGCTGGGTTTATGTGATGGGGTTTTGGTAGCACAGGAGGGGCTGCAGAGGTAGCCCCTGTAAGAAGCTGCAAGAAGTTTCCCTGGCTCCAAAATCGGTCAGATCAGCCTTTGGCCAGGTCAGACCTCCCCTCCCCTCTGGCCAGGGCTGAGATAATCAGCGTCTCTGTGAATGCCATATTTAAGAAGGGGACAAAGGAGCTCGAACCAGGCTGGACCGATAGTGAAGAGCAGAGAGAGGCAGGGGACCGCCCCCCCCCAGCCTCCCAGGCGAGCGGCTGCCCATGCTGGGCAGTGCCACCCGACTGGAGATGGCTGCAGTGGTACAGCTTGGAGAGCTCCAAAGCTCCCTGCTCCCAGGGCACCTGCTGGGCAGAGCTCATTCTGTCGGGGCTACTGCAGTTCGTCAGGTCTGGCATGGCTGCAGCAGAGAAAGGATCGAGATCTGAGAGAAATGGCTACACAGACACCAGGTCAGTGAAGCAACCTGTGGTGAGACACAAGGCGGCCGCTGCCGCCGGTGGAGATTAACAGTGGAACAGAGACCCACTCACAGTCTGTGGAGAACCCCACACTAGAGAAGAGATACTTGTGCCTGAAGGAGGTCATAGAGAATGGTCTCTGTGAGAAGGACCCCCCATGCTGCTGGAGACTGACGATGAAGCAGAGATGCATCTGAAGTCCGTGGAGGACCCCACACCAGAGCGGGTGGCTGCGTCCTGAGAAGCCGTGACTGTGGGAAAAGCCTACACTGGAGCAATTTGATGGGTAAGGATTGCATCCTGCGGGAAGGACCTACGTTGGAGAAGTCTGTGGACTGTCCCATGAGTAGAGGATCCATTGGAGCAGGAGAAAAGAGTGTAAGGAGTCCTTTAAGAAAGGAGCAGCAGAAACAACGTGTGATGAATTGACCTGCAACCTCCCATTCCCCATACCCCCACGCTGCTGGAGGAGGAGGTAGAGCCAGGAAGAAGGGAGGGGTGGGGGGAAGGTATTTTTAAGATCTGGCTTTGTTTCTCATTGTCCTCTCTGAATGAATTAACGAATTAAATTGATTTATCCCCAAAAGAAGTCTGTTTTTCCTGGGACTATGTTTGGTGGGTGATCCCTCCCGGTGCTTATCTCAACCCTCAGCCCTTTTGTTACATTTTTCTTCTCTTCACCCTGAGGAGTGGGAAGAGTGAGCAAGCGACCATGTAGTGGCTTAGCTGCCAGCTGGGCTGAACCATGACATCCAGCTATCTTGGCTGCCCTCTGGGTGATTAGCTCTGCTTCCCTAGTTCCCACTTGCATTTCAGTGGGACAAAATAGCCAACCTTCATGGCCTCAAAGAGAAGAGGCAATGAGACCCTTTTCAAAACAGCTGCAGCCAACCAGTTGTCTCCTGTCCATTGCAAAGTGACACTGGCTTCCCCACCCCACCGCTGCTTAAAAACAAACCAGTGCAAGAAAGTCGAATCTGATACAGTTGAGTGTGTATAAGATCACTTGCGAGTTCTAGCTGCAGAAATAACTTTTACTCAAAACTGAAGCTTTTTTCAGCTATATTTTTTAACACAGGCAATTACGGATAGTGCAGAATAAGCTAGAGTATCAACACCTATTTATGGTTGTTTTCCAAGCTAAAACATGAGGTCATATCTCCAACGCACATAGTTTACATCCCTGGAACTTAGATTTGACCTAAGTATCAGATTTCACTAGATAGCCCTTGAAATCTCGTTTGCTTACTTGTCCCCGAAAAATACCAGTGAATCATAAGCAACACAGACAACTGAAGTTGAGGTGGTGCCTACTCACCTGAGCACAAAGTCATGGGAGTCAATATCTTGGCCATACCGAGACTGCCGAAGGTTCCCGGAGTTGCCCACGACAGCACATCGTCTGCACGTGGAAGTGCCTCGCTCCTGCAGCGGATCTCCATCCCCAGGAATGATCTCAAACAATTCCTTGAGAGTAGCATTAATATTCTTCGGAGTTTTCTCCCCTTGCAATTTCTGGTAGAGAGAAAAATCACTCCAGGTTACCAATATAGCTAGCTTTTCTGTGACCAAGACATAGCTTCAAATGTCTTCTCAAAGATCATTCTTGCATCTGTCTACCTGCAGACACTGTCTCCAGCAGTATGTGTTACAAGGCTTTGAGAAGTGTGAAATAAAAAAGTGGAAAACCTTGGGCTTCTATTAGGCCATGTATAAGATTTCTTTTAACCCTCCAAGGAAGGATGGAAGATTCTTAGGGAACCTGATGGATCACAGAAGTGGCTGACACCCCTTCCACAAATTTCGGCATATGCCAGAAGTGGGAGTGGGAGATTTTATTGCTGCTGTTATGGACTGTGGAAGAACCAGCTGCTAGTGCAATCGAAAACTATGATGAAATGCAGTTAGCCCTGAGGGTTGGAGATGTAAAATTATCTAAAAAATTCTCCAGGATGAAGAAAACCACCCGGAACTTGGTCATTGTGTCTGTTGCCATGGAGGGAAACTCTTTTGTAGCAGCTCTATGGTGCATGGCGGAAACAATGGCTGGATCAGGAAGGTACAGGCAAGGTGCAGGGCAGGTGATGGTCGGACACTCCCTTTCTGGGGCTCTGCTCTCTGAGGGCTCCTAAAGAGCTTGGAAGTGTTGGCAGGCTCACAACAAGCATTGCCCACCCTCGTGGTGCCGCTTGCTTGCAAGTTCACAAAGGGAGACCAGCTCCTAAAACAAAATCTGCCAAAAGGGCTCTGCCCTTGTTCTGCCAGCCCAGGGCAAGGAGACACAAGGAGGCAGAGAGGAATAACACCTTTTCCCACGGCTTTCAGCAATGGCCTGGGATAATTTGGCTTTTGCCAAACCCCAATTCCGATGCGTTTCCCTCACCTGCACCAGGAACTGTTAATTTGTCCTGCTCTCTCTCACACACACAAACACAAACAGATGTATCACTGCAATTTTTGTTTAAATTTCGTGCTGTCGCTTTGCAGACCTATGGAAAGCAACATTATTTGTGCTGAATTGAACAAGAGGTCTGCGGAGCTCAGAGCTACAAGACAACATTGGGGCCAAGAACTTGAAGCAAAAAGACAAAGAAATGTTGCATACACAGACTTAATCTTCCTGCTAATCCTTGCTAGCCTATATACTCATATATGAAGTGCACAAGGTGATCAGGATGCAAGGTAATTAGGATGTCCAGACAAGCACTGTCACTATTACCACGTATGTCACTATTCAGTGGATAGCTCAATTATTTAAGTGAAAAAAGTTATCTTCTTCTAAATTTGTGTGTGGTGCTACAAGCACATGTCACATAGCTAAACTCTTGTGTATTCTTTATGAATCCAATCTAACCTGGTTTTACTCTGAATATATGAAAAACACTTAACATTAGAAAGCCTGCAGCCTTCAAAACAAAGAGAGACTTCGTAGATGTCTTAGAGTGTAGTATCAGGTCCACAATGTAGAAAAATCCAACCTTTTTTAAAAAAGGAACTTATTTTGAGCTATCTGGACATGTATGTGCATACACCCATGTATACTCTCTCTATAAAGAGGAGCTGACTTTAACTGTCTTTAAGAAATGAAAGGGAAAACCACTAAACATACACTGAAACATTTCTAAGAACAGTTATTCTGGGGAAAAAAAAAAAACAACCAAACTTATTCTTGAACTGATTCTTCCTGAGAAAATTCAGACGAGGAAGGTAATTTTTAGAAAATTCTAAGTACCTGGGCCCCTTTTTTAAGTTAAATTGCCTTTTCAGCCAGAATGATAGCATCAGGAAAGGAAAGGACCTGGAGTATTGACTTCTGTTTGATGCATTAAAATGGTTAAGAAACGTTATCATGGATAGGCACCTCCACTTACAGAGAACACCTTTTCTTTCTGTCATGCTGCTGTTGATCTAGAGTAACTATTGAAACCAAGTTAAAACCTGGGCACCAACACCCGCCTGAAAGCAGGACACCATCATCCTACAATCCCTCAGTTGTACATAACTTCCACAGCAGAGATTATTCCTTATGTTAGAGATTCCCTCAAAGACCCTAAATAGGATGATGACCTTATTGCACTGTGTGCTAAGCATCTATACAATAAGATACCTGTTCTTAACTCATTAAAAGTGCTCTGTTTAATTTCCTCAGTGATTATCTGATTGGACTACACCTTTCAGGCCTAATCTTCAATCAGCACTGGCTGGTCTTTGACATTTCTGCAAAACAGAGCAGAGCAGGCAATGAAGCTGGTTAAGTCCAAGGCAGATAGAGCTTTTAAAAGTTCAAACTTAATGTGCAGCCAGTTCTTTATTGTGCAATGTTTACTTGACTTCTTGAAAAAGACCATTTTAATAGCATAACAATTACAAGCCAATTACAGTTCATGTCCCCACATCATATTTTTGTCTTTTTTTTGAGTAATGTTGTCTCTCCTTTTTTTTTTTTTCTAACAAGCTCCCACCAGTCTGGCCTTTCCCATAAATTAACAAAAGCACTGGGTGAAAGTCTATCCACGCCGTGCAAGGCAGAACCATGGCAGTGCCATGTGGCTCTGCCAGGACAGCATCACCCCTCCAGGTGCCGTAAATGTGTACCAGGAATATGTGCATGGATATAGCTGCTAGAAGTGGGCTTAAATACACTGAAATACCTGACCCTTGTGTCCTAAGTGAAGTGTCTGCTTTTCTCAGAAGTCTGTGCAAGCAATAGCCGTGTCTAATGATGCAGCTTAACCTCTTGCCCAACTCCAAAAAGCATTTTAACCCACCTTGTGTCCACATATAAAATATCCCTAGATCACTTAACGCTCCAGTTCCCCTCCATAAAATATTTGTCCGGCACTCGAGAGTCAACTCTTCACCTTAGGTTGTTAAAAACTATAACTGGGAGTCCAGATTTGAGAAATTTCCTAATCATCTTCACAGGGAAGACAAACTACCCTGTCCTCCCAGCCTTAGAAACTCCCTACTTCGCATACAGAAGTTTTGCTAGCTGTTTTTACATGTTATTTAAAAAAGAAAAAAAAAAAGGAAAAAAAAGGCAAGGAAAAAAACCCTTGAAGTTTATGCAGTTCCTCTCTAGCCACGAACAGCTTTCTGAGGAAGAGCCTGTTATTCCTTCTTGCACCACAGAACCTTCATTAAGAATGACAAGGGACTTTGCTGCTTTTCTAAACTTCTTGGAAGACTTCCCTTGGTTCTCCGGTACCATCACATCACCACTGATAGCCAGGAAGCAATACTCAAAACTCATCTAAGGGGATGCAAGGTGAGAATATGAATTCAGGCAAAACCACTCAGAGCTAATAGCTTGGAGTGGTAAGAATGTAGCTACGGTCAGGAGAACCTCAGAGGAAAGCTAACCTAGTGCCTCTGCATGTCGCATCCACCAGCAAGTTTGGCACGGTACTAAATACACCTCCAAAATCCCAACTTCTTAGCAGGCAGAAAATATCCTGCTTAACCTGTAATCATCAGTGTGATGTGGATGCAGATGCAGCATGGATTGAGACACAACCCTCATGGTGGACAGACAAGTATAGGTGTAGGTCTGGCAGCAGCCAGCACTGCTGGGGCAGCCCTCCTGCAAGCACACGGCCACAGAGCCTGGGGAAGCTGGTGTAGCAATACTCTTTTTCACAGCTTTTCTATTTTTTTAACTGTTTTTAAAAGATAAAGAGGTAATAAAGTCCCATGAGTATCTCTTTTGCACAGCTACTAATTGCATCGCTGCAGCAGTTCGGAGGCATTAATACGCAGCGCTTCCCAGCTACAACACATTGTACAAAGGTTAATCCTAGCAACAGCCTGGTGGGGCAAATCCAGGTAATCTCCATTTTGCAGACTGAAGGGGAGGTTAAAAGGAAACCATCAATTTTAAAAATGCCTCCTTGGTCTGGAAAATATGGCAGTATTATTGTTATATTTAATGTCCTGCAATTGCTATGCATCAAAGAGATTAAGGGGAAGAATATAAGGTCTTTTAAGAGTTCAGGCTTTGTTTAATGATTTGTGTCTGTCAAAAAATATGCAGTCTTGAATATTAATGTAATGTGCATATATTATATAAATTACACACAATAATATGCATATGCCAAATTGTAAGATTTCTGACTTCCATGGCTAGAACCGGTCACCTCCATGCCACCCTGAGGAGTAAAGACCCTGCCTGCACCAGCTCTGCGTGCCCTCGTTTCTGGCTGCAGGATGCTTGCAGCTTGGCAGAGCGCACCACAGTGCTTAGAGGGACTCATGAGCTTGGGCCACCTTCAGATCTGTCCTCGCTGTAGGACACCCTGGAGCTGCAGCCCATGTGGACGTACACAGGGGCTGCCAGCAGGGATAAGAGGTAGGCCAGGGTCTGGTTCTCTCTCCCAGGTATGTCCAAGGCAGGTCCAAATGTCATGCTTGCTCCCAAGCAGTAGGACACCAGCTGGGACCAGGAAGGTAGTAGGCACTACAATTAGAGCCTGAGACCTGGGCTGGATCTGGTACCACCTTTTGCAGCTATCTGATAGCTACACGCTACCTTCAGAGCGCTGAGCCTTTCGTATTGCTTTCAAAGTATCACAGTGTCCCACTTCTAAAGATGACTTCTTGTGATCAAAGTATTCGAGTAAATTTTCTACAAAGAGCATTCAAAATGCGTGACTCAGGTGCCAAGTAGCTCTGCTGCTGTCTTAAAAATAAGTGCAGCTTCCATGACTTCCCCAGTACATGTTTTGGGGATGCCCTTTTGTTTGCCATCTGGTTAGCAAAACTTTAAGCCATATATTACATTTTTTCCTACAAACATAAGGACTAAAAGTTAACATTTTCTTTTAGATACACTAATTACATGGCCTGACGAGCTGAGCTTTCTTCAAAAAAAAAAAAAAAGAAAGCAAAACCCTCATCGGATTTAGATGAGATATAAGGAAGAAATTTTTCACTGTGTGAGGGTGGTGAGGCAGTGGAACAGGTTGCCCAGAGAAGTCATGGCTTCCCCATCCCTGGAAGTGTTCAAGGCCAGGTTG